TTATCTGAGTTAAAAAACGCAATACTTATTGAGATAAACAATATTGAAGTTCAGATCTTACAACGTGTAATTCAAAATTTTCGTAAAAGAGTTGAACTTTGCCAAGAAAGTGACGGTAGCCATTTTGGACATTTATTTTTAAATTGCTGTATCTTGTCAACAAAAATAATACAAGTTTCAAAAATATAAATTGTCATAATAAAAAGTTATAATTAAAAACAATTGTTGTATACCTTTCTGGTCTCCCTGTACATCTAACTGGAAGAGCAAAATCGAAAAAAGAATTCTTTTAGAACACTGACACAAGATTCCAGTTTTTCCACAAAGTGGTAGAAATCCCACGGATTCATCCCTATGTTCTTTTCCATAACGTATGCTCGTTTCCTATGATATATGTTGTGCATTTTTTTCTCGAGTTATCATTCTCTGTATCCTTCCTAGTCTGTTATTTCTCTATATAGATCTTTATCCTTGATATAACACTGTATTTGAATTATTAGTTAACTCGAACTCATGTTCACAAACGTATACAATTTATATCATTATTTATAGATATTCGTCGGTAATGTAGAACTAACGTGTATTCTGTCGATCAAGAATCAATTTTTCATTCTTGTCAAAAGATATCATATTCAATCGTTTTTTGAAACAAGTTGAAACTGCACAAGAAATTTTCAGTGTATGGCTGTAAGTAAAAACTCGATAATTCCTCCTATAGCGATCTGCAGAAGGTGATATGTTAAAATTATTCCAGAACAATATCTCATAAAAACTGTATAAATAGATTTGAATGAATGTGGCCCACTGAATGCGTGTGAATTGGATCAACAGAGGAATAAAATGACTTGTAACGTATCCATCAAGTATTAAATTTAATAAAGGTCAAAGAGTAGAGTCTAAGTTGCACCTGGATATATTTTATCTACACGAGATCTTCTAGGATCATCAGTATCTTCGGTTTCGTTATTCTAGAGCAACAGCACATTATCACAATTAGCAAAACAACAGCAGAATATATTTAAAACTTTAATGACAAATCTTTATGATACCTCATTGGATGGTTTAATTGCAACACGTAGTGAGGTTAACAGTCTGCAACTGAGACATGCATGGTACCATTCAAATCTTACTCAAATAAAAGGTCTCAAAGAAGATATAAATAAAATTCAAGAACGATATGATTCAAACATTCAGAATATCTTGGATCAAATTGCAAAACAAAAAGTATGTGCAAAAGAAATCCTTGTCAATTCACTTAATCAGCTTGAATCCACAATCAATACCCAAGATATCAGAAAATATCTCAATGAATTAATAAATGCCATTGATCATCTGCTTGGTCCTCTGTCCGAGCAAGTTTTATTAGTATCAATTTTTTCGGGACTTGGCTTGCTCAGTTTTATCGCAGCATTTATCGCTCTTTTTGCTGGAGCATCTGCATTCGGTGTTGCAACACTTGGACTGGGATTTCTTGTTAGTAGCACAGCAAGTGAAGTTATGTTTCGAAGTAAATTAAGCGAATTAGATGAAAACTTATCAGATAACATCAGAAACGTTCAAAATCAGAAATACGAACGAATAAAAAAGCTCGATGAATATTTCAATAACTTCGAACAGAGATTACAGCATTGCCATACTCATGATCATAATTCCAAAATTAATATTGTATGGTATGATAAAAATCTTCAAAGCCACGAAAATCAATGTTATATTGAAAGATTAAGAAACGAGTTTTCAGCAGAACAATACCAAATTATGCAATTCGATGATAAAGATCAATCAATCGATTCAGTTGTGTCTAGTATTACGAACAATCTTATCTTAATCACTTCAGGATCAGCTGGAGAAGAAGTTATATCTGAAATTGGATATTATTTTCATATCAAAGGTATAATTATATTTTGTACTAATGTTGAATATCACCAAAACTGGGCAAGAAAGTATAAGAAAGTGTTACTTGTCACAAATATGTGTTCACAACCCTAGTCTCAATCCTGTTCATTCCTTGAGAAACCCTGAAAGGATCTGTCAGGATCCTGAATCTCAAGGATCCTGCTAAGTTTTATTCAGGATCCTGTCTCGAATCCTAGAAATTCCTGT